AGTCTAAGAACAAATGCCAATTTTTACTGTCCCAAGGCATTTTCTAAATTGTAGTTATTTTCAAGACGAAAAAGGGTATTTACATGCCCCCTTGCCTATATTTGAAATGTGATGTTTGGCACCAACTGCATGACTAGCACCTCCTCTTAATTATGGAAGTGATAACCATGATATGAGCGTATCATGAAATGTTCTTACATAGTTGGCATGTGGAGATGTTTTCAAAGGTCACTGTGTTCTAAAATATTTAATTTGATCATGTTTTTGTGGCTGCACAGTTAGACGAAATTTTATTTCAGACACACTTTTCAGTGCATTCATTTCAATGCAGGATGCTTTGCTGCCATGAAAACAAATTCAGTAGAAGTTGGGTAGTACTTTTTGTCCATGCTTTCCATATTGGTTAGAAGTGCACAGGCTTTCGTTGGAAAGGCTGGTATCACATACTCCCCACCAAAAATCTGAATTAGTTAAATGAGAATCTGATAACAGTTGGTAAGTTATTTGCTTGTGCTGCCAGGCTGCCGTAAATCAAATCTAATCAAAACACTCCTCTGCCAAGGTTTAGTTCAAATGAGGTAAAGATGAAAGGTCCAGACTTGCTGCTTGCTTTGTTGGGAGTAACTGAATGGTTTGGTGACTTGGTAACAAAAGAAAACAAGTTGTGAAGGAGCAAAATTATCATTCTGTTCCATTTATCTCAATCTAATGAATGGAATTTCAAAATTAACTCATGTCTTAGCTCTGGTTTTGGTCTCTACCAACTCCTGGATTAACTATGTGGCTCCTTAGCTGCTTTCCAGGCCATATCTTTGTCTGACTACTGTTGGTGTTGAGCAGGTAGTGTACAGAGGGTTTTTAGAGCTTTTCACCAAAATAATCAACCAAAAAAATAAAGTTGTAGCAGGACAACTAACTATAAAAAGTGGGGAGTTGCAGATTCATCTGATAATTCTGTGGATGTTCATCACAATGAGTGATCTCTTTCACACTAACACATTGTATTCACATTGTCATTTGATGTACTGTTATTATAAAAATAGAAATAAAATGATGAATTCTTTCAAATATGTGCTTGATTTGAATATAGCTATATTGCAAGGATCTTTGTAGCATTTCTCTCCTTCATTTATGTAATTTCTCTGCTGTCTGACTGTAATAAAAGCCCAAAATGACCTTTAAACAACAGTGGCTTCAGCATCCAGAGTCATTTATCTGTACATGCTGGATGACACTTTGGAGAGAGGAACTTTGAAGAGGGCTGATTTATGTTGTGTCTGGAATCCCACAGTAACAGGAGACATTCTGGTTTCCACCACACTCAGCACATTTCTACACTGTGTTCTCACTTTAGTTTGGTTCAGTATCCGTCATAAGTAATCATCACGAGTTAACATTTAGAGGGGTGAAGCTTTTCTAGCACCACCCATAGTGAAACATTGATGGCGGAAATCCAAACATATATGTGTGCCCTGAAAATTTAAGTTGTGAATCTTCTTCACATACTTAGAAACTAAGAAGTAATAACGTCACAGAACTATGTCAGATGGCAATAAAGATATCTGTGTATTCTTGTGACCAATTCCACTTGTCTATAAAACATAATCGTGCCAGATCTCTAAGTTGAATTGTACACTCAGGGTGGAATGAGAGCACGCTGTTCAGCTGAATCCCTTCAGGCAGTGGTGTTCATTTTTTAGCTTGTGCTAACAATGACTGACTTTTATGCAGACGATGAGTTCACATCTTTTTGGCAGTTCAGAAAATGTCAGAAGCTTGGCACCAGCGACTCGTATTAAAAAAATTAATTTGCATTCCAATTTTTTATTGATAGTCTGTAATAAACGGTGGACAGAACTTTCAGAGAAACATGGATGATGTGAAGGAATTCACCCCGTTTGTGTTTTCTCTCTCTCTCTCTCTCTCTCTCTGTCTCATTATTGAGTGTTGGTATTATTATGGTGGTTTCATATCTGCTTTTTGCTCCTTTTGCAGTGTGGTTCACTGACAGCATGACCTTGAATTTTGTGTGCATAAGCAGCACTGCCAGGTGACACTATGATAGAGTTAATACACCGTGTCAATTCTACACATGAACTTGTTGACACTGAGTGACTGCTGCAGTCTCATAAGAAGATCTATAGACTTCTACAGGTTGGTTCACATCACTGTGTTAAAGTGTGTATTTTTGTAACCCTGCATTCTAAATCTAATTCTGAATTTAAATGTCCTTTGAAGTAAAATTTTGTGATACAGGTTTGACTGCAACAAGATCTAAGGACATATTCCATACATTCTCGTGTTGATTGGAAAAAAACGAATCCCTGTTTCTAAAGGCTAAAATGGTTGCATAATGCCCTTTTTGCTTTTGCACTTGTGACTGACAACATTAGACTGAAGAAGGAAATACCACGAACATATGATGTGTTCCAATAACGAATCAGTTTAACCAGCTACACTGAATGTGAGAGGATATTGTTTTCAGTATAACTTTGTAAAACAAACGTTCTTTATTGTGTTCATAATACATAATACTACAAACAAACTGAAAGACTATTCAAAGCTTAAAACCTGACTTTTTAACTGTGTTTAACGTCTGCTCAACACTTTCATAAAACCAGTCAGCAGATGCTAAAACATTCTGACATTTACTTCCTTGTTTGAGTGAAAAATCTGATGGCACATTTTTCCAGAGAAGAGGAATGAGGACATGTGACTGCAGAGAGATAGAGAGATTGAGAATTCACAGGTGTTACCTATACGGAAGTTATTTTTCCCAGACAGCAACATTTCTGAATCTGCTTGGTCAGCTTATCTGGCAAGACAGTAAAAGGAGCTGCCACGCTGCTGTGGGAACAGGCTTTTATAATATTCATAGCATTGCATGATTTGTATTAATAATATAGGCAAAATATCTAAGAAACAGCAACGAACGCACCTGAAGCAGCCCTAATGTTAATCATGGAATACAGAACAGAAAGTATAGAATCAGAATTACCCAATTAATTTAAAAAAAAAAAAAAAACTTTTCAAATTTTACTTTTAAAATTCTTCTTAGGTGGTTAAGGACAGATATGTAGCTACAGTCCAAAAAAGTCACACAGTGTATTTTTCTAGTTCTATGATACTGACTGCTGGTGGTGAACTCTTTAGATTTTTCTGTATTTCTGCATTAACATGACCAAAACATCATCAGACTTTCCTATAAGTCCTAAGAGTACATAAAAAACATACATATTAAACAAATGAAACAAAATATAATACTTTTCATTTGTTTACTCAATGTGAGTGTGTGCTTGATTGTGTGTTTCTAGGTGTAGCCCTGTGATGGACTGGTGACCTGTCCAGGGTGTCTCCTGCCTTTGTCCTGGGCTAGACTCCAGCCCCCTGCGACCCCAGTGAGGATTAAGTGGTGTATAGATTATAGATGGATGGATTTGTTTACTCAGGAAATGACCCAATATTACATATCTGTGAGCAGCAAAAGTGTGTGAACCTTTGCTGTCAGGATCTGGTGTGACCTTCTTACGCAGCAATAACTTTTGTTTTTTTCAAATGATCGCCTCACTTCAGGTCCTGCAACATTTCTATTGCATGAAAGTCAGGATTTTGACTTGGCCATTCCTAAACATTCACATTATTCTTATTTAACCATTCTTTGGTAGAACCACTTGTGTACTGAGGGTTACTGTCTTACTGCATGACCTACTTTCTTTTGAAATTCAGGTCACGGACAGATGTCCTTCAGAACTTACTAATATAATTCAGAACTCATTGTTCCATCAAACTGTCCTGTCCTAGATGCTGCAACACAGGCCCAACTACTACAAGCACCATATTTATATATGGGATAAGGTTCTTACAAAGAAGTGTGTGTTTTCCTTTCTCCAAACAAAATGCTTCTCATATAAATCACAATGTTCTATTTTGGTCTCATCCATCTACAAAACATTTCTCCCGTAGCCATCCACGTGATCTTTGGTAAACTGCAGACAGGCAGCAATATTCTTTTCAGGAGAGCAGCCTTGCTGTGCACAGCACTGTGGATGTCCTGAGGGTGAACTAACAAACATTAACATTAGTCAATGCGAGAGAGGCCTTCAGCTGCTTATAGGTTACTCCAGGCTCCTCTGTGACTTTGCAGACTATTGCTGTTGCTCTGAGAGGGATCTTTGTTGGTCAACTATTTCTGGAGAGAATAACAGTAGTTTTGAACTTCCTCCATTTGTACAGCCTTACTGTGGACTTCAAACCCTTTACAGATGATTTTGTGACATTTTCCAGCATAATGAGCACTGACAGCTCGTTTTCTGAAGTCCTCAGAAAAAACCTTTGTGATATGATACACGTCCACAAACATGTTGTCAGGATCACACTTTGACAGATGCCTGTTCTTTAAGTAAATCAGGACACACACTCACACCTGATTCTCTTTCAAATGTCACCTTTAGTTTAAGTACAAGTCCTTAAAAGTTCCAAACTTTTGCAACTCACAGGTATGTAATATTGGATGACTTTCCTCATTAAATAAAGGGCAGAGTGTAATACCTTTGGCTCATTTTTTAAAATTAGGTTATATTTCTTTACTTGTAGGACTTGTATGAAAATTTGATAGAATGTTTGACATTTCTGCAAAAATATAGGACTGACAAACTTTAAACATACATTTAAGTATATTTTATATGTTCTCCAGCATTTGTTGTCCTCCTAAAACTCATAAAACATAATTTTCTACTTGTAATGTTTCTATTAGTCAGATTCTAACACTAGATCTGACCATATTTAGTGTTACATTAGCAGTCCACCTGCCCCAGGAGATGAAATGCATTCTGTCTGTTAAAGCTTTAAAAACATTGTGGGGTGCATTCATGTTCTGTGAATACAAGTCCACCATTGTTGTGACTTGTTTGCAGAGAGATTTAGAATCCTACAAGAAATTACAGAATTTATATTAAAACGTCATGTATTTAATATAATGAAATGATAACCAAACACAAAAGTTTTATTAAATGTTTATTTTACACGAAATATACAGTTTTGTTTGAAATTCATATACAAACCTTTACAAACATGAATAATTTATTCATAAAAAAAGACAACTAAAACTGTACAGAGAACTGTTCTGGAGTTTTTTTTTAAACACAATGGAGCAACAATAAAACTTCAGACTATGGCCTAAACCTGTCTAACCTGTTCTTAGTTAATTATCTAGAGACATGCTTGAAATTCAGTCACAAGTACCATGGTTGCATAACAATGCTGCACCAACACAACCAGGAAAACCAGAGAAAATGAAAGAGGATTGTTAACATACAATAAAGTGGTGGCCCTGTGATGACACATAAAAAAAGGGAGAACAAAGGAAGAAAGGAGAAGGGAAAATAAAAACACCCAGTGTGAAGGACTACAGCTTTTCAGAGTCACTGTAAATACATTCAATAGATGTTACACTGTATTGTATTTCTCCTCTCAAGGCTATGACTCGATAGTTGTAAGGCAGAGAGAAGAATAGGTTTGTGCACTTTGTCTATTCACAAAAAAACCCTGCAAACATTGGATTATTTACAGTATACTGTCTGTGGATTTGGCTGGATTAAGACGACTGGTTTTAAATTCCAAGTAGCCCTTTGTGACACTGCATCACTGTGATTTTACTACTCAAAGTAACACAGTTTCAAGTTTTTGTGTGCAAGTTAACATGTGCAAAAGGCAGTGAGATAGCAATGTAAATGAAGGCCCTTAAAAAAAAGAGAGAGAGAGAGAGGGATTGAAAAGTATTGGACAATCGGGTTACAGCTGGACATGAAGCAAAAGGGGAAACTACACAAATACGGCAGACTTGGTCTCATGACCGAAACATACGTCAAGAGAGAATCGATTTGTCACAAGTTAACCTTGGCTGCCTGTCATAAGCAGTACTTCAGTCATTCAAGCCTGGTGCAAGCCCCCAGAAAGCAAACAAGAGTAGCAAGGCCGTGTCCTGGGCAGAGCTGTGTTTGAAGCTACTGATGGGCTTTCAGCCAATATTTACATTGCAAATACTATCAAGTGAAAGGGTGCTAAAGAGACAGAAAGTAAGAATGTTGTTGCCGTGAAAAAAACGCTACCATTATCCACAGACATTGCAAAGGGCTGAGGTCACAGATCTGACAACTGGAGCAGTCAGCAGTAAAACATAACCATAAGAAATGTGTTTATAAAACCAGTTTACGTGTATTCAGAGAGGCACCTACTGTATGTAACAATACATACAGCATTAAAAAAAAAAAACCTCAGGAAAGGTGTGTACCAATCAAACCCCCCCAAAACCCAACTTAGTCTATAGTGTCTCTTTGCTCATAAGTCTGTTTACTCTCAGTTGATTCTAGGACTCAGATTTTAATATTCGCTGATTCCTTATGCAGTCACTACTCTAGTCAAAAATAAATCGACAACAAATCATCAAGGACTTTACAATAATGTACAAATGAAATACCAAAGGAAAAAAGAAAAAGGAAAAAGGAGAAAGCCCTTAACCTCCTTCATTTCTTTAAGACAAACGCTTGGCTCAGGTTTTAAAAGGACAATCTGCACTAGTATGGACTTTCATCTGTCCTCATTTGGTGGAATTGTGCAATGGGAGACATATAAACCCATGTAGCACTGAATAAAAGCTACCATGCCCTTCATTTTAATAAATATTATAAAAACACCAATATGGTGAACATAAATAGATGAAACTACAGGAAATCCAACTAATTTCCACACAGAATTTCTCATGAGCCTATGAGTAGAAAATACACACTCATAGACAATTTTTTGTTCACACATGACAATAAAATACATGGAATATAGTTTTTCAAACTGTATATAAAAAGTGAGACATAAACAGAGCAGACATTAAATACTCACAGGGCTACATGTCATACTCTGTAGTCCATATTCCCCAAGATGAAGGAAACCCTTTGTTCAAGACTTTACAAGAACACTCAATTCTTGTAAGCCAAAATGATGGGGATTAACAGAACACTGATTTTAAATTTGATCTTGGTTTTGCAGTCTCATTATTAGACCCTCAAAGTGCAATGGGACTTTTGATATCCTTTTAAATGATTCACATTAGAATACATATACTTCAATGCTAGACAACAACAGAGGACCAGGGAGATGTGTTAACTTGACATAGGTCAACTCTGACATCTCAAGATTCTGTATTGTCTTCCTTTGCATATTCCTCCACAAGTTTCTCATAGGAATGGCTGTGCTCAGAATCATCACTAGTGAAAACAGATCCTTCAGATTCAGAACTCTGCTCCTCTTTGGAGTCTGTTTCAATGTTTTCATCACATGTAGTAATGGATATTTTTGCTTTAGAATCATCATCATCGCCATCATCATCGTCATCCTCCTCCTCCAACTCCTCCAGATTATTGCTGAGAAAGTTTTCCTCATCAATAAAAGTAATGTTTGCATTTTGGATTGTTAGAGGATGGTACTCTTTAAATTCCCATGTCCTACGACCACCTGCTCCACACTCTCCCACGCCTCCATTCTCGAGGTCAATGTCCTTGTCAAGTTGGTTCTCATACATTGGGTCCTGATCAAGTTCTAGGTCACCCTCTACATGGTCGTCTGTTAGCAGCAAACCATTGTCTGAGCCGAGGAGGTAGTTCTTGGACTTTGAAAAAGCAACAGTGACACGGTCACTGAAACTATAGCGTCTCTTTTGGCGTGGTGAGCGGTCCAAGCTAAGGATGGTATGACCATTATACACAGGAGCATCATTGCAACTCTTGGAACGACCCATCTCTTTGGATTTATTGATGGTGTTGCCAGAGCCACATTTGGTGCTGCCATCTTTTTTGGAGCCAATCTGCTTTATCAAGTCATTATAGCCTTCCTGCTTCTTGGACAAGAAGCTGAAAATGTTGACATCATTTGGAGTGGGAGACAAACGAAGGGCAGCTTTGTGAGACTCTTTGTAGTGTCGAAGCTCATCAAGGGATAGCTTGCGCAGCTTGCGGCGTTTCTTCAGTGCCTTGTGAGCTTCAATTACCATCCGTACTTTCCAGTTGAAGAACAAAGAAAGCCAGGCCAACCCCAGATAAATCCAGACTTCCACAAAGTAACGGTACAAAGTTGGATATTCTTTATTTGGTTCCACACCTGCAAGGACAAAGAATATTGCAAGTAAGTTCGAAGTTCTGAACAGAACCAAGCGGTGTCTTTTCATTTTTGCTCGAGTTAAGAAATTAAAAGCAAATATTCCTCAGCATACCTGCTACCAAGTCCCCAAAACCAATTGTGGTCAAGGTGACGAATGAGAAGTACAAGCCTTCAACATATGTCCAACCCTCCTGAGACATAAACACAAAAGGTGGGAGGACTAAATGGACCAGCACACCCCAGAGGAGAAAGATGGCTGTGCAGGTAAATTGAGCTTTTCTCTGCAAAAGAAAAAAACCAATACAAACAGGTTACTTGAGGTCAACAAAAGATGCAGGTACTTTACCCAAAAATGGGGTAACAAAATTAAAAAAATAAAATAAGATCAACTTACCAGTGAAAAGCCTTTTTTGGTTAAATACTGGCCCAGGTGCTTGGCTCTGCCACCAAAGAACTTGCCCAGCTCACTGATCCAGGTAAGACATAAAGGCACACCAAACAGCCCGTAGAAGATGCAAAACATACGGCCTGCCGAGGTTTTTGGGGCAATGTTTCCATATCCTTTAAAACACATTAAAAAAAAAAAAGGTGAGTTTAAGGAGTATAGTACAGTTAGTACAATTAAGTGGATAAAACTTTTCAATTCGGCTGTACAATATGAAGATGTGCCATGCTATCAAAGAGGAAACTACAAAACTATATCATCTTTAGTTTAGTACTTTTTTGCAAACTACAGTAACATTACCAAATCTCAGTTTTCCTTCATTTTCAAAAAGGCTTGAAATAACAAGTACACAAATGTGTCTTTTCCCATCAGGAGCAGATCTGTCACTGCTGAACCTCCAAAAGCACTTACCAATAGTAGTGATAACAGTGGCGGCAAAGATAACAGCATTTGGCCAGTTCCAGTTGTTGAACGTCTTACTGCCTGTGATAGTCACTCCTTGGCCTGCAGCATCTGACACCACCTGACGACAAAGAAAATAAAAACTACAGCTTAGAAAAGGCTGGAATTCACCTTTAGGAGAAAGAATGATAAAACAATAGATGGATACTATCAGTTTGCAATCATAAGAAGGTCCAATGAGTTAAGCACAACGAACACAGGAAGTTTGTCATGTGTAAACTCCATTTCTTTGACCACATCCTTCCTGTGATATGTTGATGGTATCTCCAGTAGCACTGATGAGCTGAAACGACACTCATGCACCCTGGAGATTTGCCTTTAACCTGAGGGCTTTATAGTTCCAGCCACTGCTTACTTTGCAAGAGAAACAGGAAGGCAAGTGCTTTATCCCTAAACAGCAATTTCATAATCACATGAGGATGCATGGCTTCAAAAGGCCAGGTAGTTCTGACGTAGTGATCCTCTTTATGCTTGTTTTTCCTTTTCCCAAGATCAAAAGTTTCACAGAATATGAACAATACTAAATATAGTTTTTAAAAAAAACAACAAAGTCCTTAACAACCTTGAGCAAGACATACATTGGCTTGGTCTTGGAATGATGGTTTAATGTTGAAATCCAGAGGAGGAGACAAAAAAACGCTTAATCAATCATTCTCAACCATATGTGTCCTTGTGCAGCCACAACAAAAACTGAATTACCCCTCTTGGGAATCAGCAAACACCCGGCCATGTGTGCTGGGACAATACGCTACCCCATACTCTTTCTCCCAGTGTGCTGGAAGGAGGGGGGCAAATGTGCAGGCATTGGCAAAATTCACAAAAGCTCTAAAATACTGGAAGATGCTTGGCTCTTTAATAATAACAGGTCTGTGGCAGTTGTGCTCTGTAATTACCAGAGCAAGGGGAGGCCATTCTTTTGTCTTCTGAAACAACACAGTTCCTCCGTTGGGCTTCAGGATGACAGCAGTGACGACCAAGTTTGTGTTTAAATCCATGACTAGAAATTAAAAAGTGAAACCTCACTTATTTAGTGTTGGCTTACGCACTTTTGCCAGTCCCTCTGACAGACCACAGCGTCTGTAATGACTGGTTATATTTCTATGCATGTGGTACTTACTGGCCATGTTTGAGCTAAAATCTTATTTAGATTAAACTGATTACAGGAACCTTCGACAGCCAGTAACTGTATGTATATCTGATGACCAGGCTAAGCAGTTAAGCTCCATTCACCATCACTGCAGTGTAAAAAAAGGTTATACATAGGAAGCAATGTGTGCAAAGTAGTTTTGGAGCTTAGGGTGTTTCTGTACAAATCGTTAAAACACTCCCTGACACAGGCATGGACACCACAGCAGACTGTGTCAAAACAAAAGCAGTTTACTTTGGTAACTTGGCCTGTACTAATGGAAAGTGATAAGGTGTTTACAATAATGCAGCTGCACAACTTTCATGCAAGGAAAGTAGGTATTTAGAACTTAAAATGACAAGATAAACAATCATGATTCACAGATTCCTCTGCTGGGACCAATGTGAAATTTTATCCCACAAGTTTGAGTTGTTGAGGTTTGTCTGTGCTGTGGAAAACAGATGTTTAGTTTGTGCGTCATGTCTGTGGTCTGTGTGTGTGTTCAGCTCTGCACCTTATTCGAACCTAATAAGGGTGATCTGAACATGTTCACAGTCTGTCTGCCAGATAAAAACTGCTGAAGTTTGAAACGTGCAAAACTGCTGATTCACCGGACTATGATGAGGGTTAGGAAAGCTAAATCATGAAAGTGAGAACCATACTCTCAGTGTATGCCACTCAAACAGAGGACATGACCTTTAAATGAGGGCAGGCTTTAGAGGTTAACATGTTCACATTTAAATCACATTTTAAAATATCTTGCGTTGGTACTGCTGAATTGTGCCGACTTTCACCAACACAGGCTGGACAAACAGTAATCAGTGAAGCTGGTCTACAAGGAGTCACTGAACACGCGCTCCCAGGACATAAGTTTCTAAAAGGCTAAAAGGTCAGCCACTGGTCACAAATGACCCTGAGAACAAGGCAAGAAGCACAGACAGAGAAGAAGAAAGATAAGACACTCTGTATCACAGTAGGCCCAAACCAGTTCTAGAGGAAGTTGCTAAACTGGCTAAATTACTGGACAACTGGACGCTAATCTACAGCCACCAATGCACTCTTCTTGTCTTCTTGGACTGTTTTTGACTGGATGAAACTGAGTTTTCGAAGAAGAGTTCATTAAACCTAACACTGCACTGCAAAAACTAACTGACCACAGGAAATCAAGTATCTTCAGAAAATGCTTCTCTGACACTCTTTCTGGAAATGCCAAAGTTTATACTGCAAAATAAAAAAAGGAAAACAATCTAAAGTAATCCAGTTGTCTTGGTAAAGAAATGTTTTGATTACATGGATGTTGAGAAAAACAGCATTTTGCCACGAGACACACCTAGTGCCTGAGAAGTCATCCAGGAAGGAAAAATGTCTGAATTACTTTGTTAAAAACAATGAAACCACAGACATGAGTAGTTTTGTGCTGGTCATTAATAATGAACTTCACCCCGACCAGCCTTTCTAAACCAATGTCATCTTCTGTCAACATGAAGAACTTAATGTAAGCACTGTCAGTTATACTGGATTTAAATGCAACTTATTATAAAAATAAACTAGTATTTGGATTGCAACTAACAAACATTTTCACTGTCGATTAATGTGTTGATTATTTTCTTCATTAATAAATGTCAAAAGTTGTGCCAAATGTAAATAAATTGAATCACAGAATCTTGCATACTTTTTCTTTGAGTGACTATCAAAACAGTTGATAACCAACTGATCATTGCTGCAGTTCTAGCTCTAGAGCTACATTAAAACACAAATATTATACTCAGGCGTAAAAGCCACTAACTGTAAACGGACCAACAGCATCTGAGAAGATGTTTTGTCTATAAACAAAGTTTGATATGATATGCATTACATTGTCATTCATATCGTGCATTAAAATATGGCACCACAAAAAGCAGCCTAGCCATTATACTCGTCACACATTTGCCACACTCATTCAGTTAAGGATTCATTTGCTTTTGTGGAAGTGAAAATATTGCCAAACTGCAGATTAGGCAGTTTGCCACTGCACTGCTCTGATAACTCATAGAACAGTAAAACCCACAATGACAAACTCCAAGCGTTATCAGGACAGCTGGCGGCCCAGCATACCACTCCAGTTCCTTGGTGTTTTTCCACTTAACACAGAAACAGCTGCTTGTAACAATAAAGTCCCTTGAAGTGGATGGGTTTCAAACAATGCATCTGGGAAACAAACGTGAGATTTGACTGCGCTGAATTAAAATACAACACAAAGTGTGGGAAATAAAACTGCAAGATATGAACACTATGAAAAGGTGTGTGACGTTATTAGTTTCTGCTGCCCAGCACACAACACATTTTCACAAATAAGAATTTATAAGAAACTAATTAAAGACAAAGCACAGACAACTTTAGTCCAGCCCTTTCTGGATTTGATAAATACATAAAAGGAGCACGCCATAAAACTGTATTCAAGCTGTAAAAGTAAAAGGATTCTTACATCCTACATCTGTTAAGCAGTGACTACTACACCACTAACAGATTTGTGAGTGGTTGCTTTAAACTAGGCTGTTAATATTATATGAAACAGTGAGACTACACACGGCATTGTTCATTTATCCTCTAGTTTCTTTCTAAGTTGATCAATATAAAGTAAATTAAACTCAGATGAAACTCAGATGGTCTGGGTTTGAGAGCCAACTTGGCCAACCTTCTGCAGAGTGTTGAATGGTTGCAACTGACAGATATTTTGACTTGTCACAATAGGTTTATTAATGATGGCTGCATTCCACTTAGTAGAGGTCCTGCCTTTCTGCATGCTGGTTCACTCCCACAGCTTATGGGAACACCTGATGGAATCATCATAAATACACATGTGCTTTCCCAACAGTGTCAATTCAAAACGTCTGCCTCACTTTAATGCTAACTGACAACGTAAGCTGTAAAATGTAATTCTTAAATCATTTCTTAGACCCAAACCCCTGACATTAAAATGTTACCTTCCATTACCTCAGTGTGATTTATTTATTTTTTATTACACTTTCTAAAAGGGGGGGGAAAAAAAGAACTTGGAAATTCCAAGCCAGTGACCCACTAAAGGCACCCCAGGCACATGACAAAGTTAACTGTCCCTGAAAACAGTGGGCTACTTTATTCTTTTATTCTGGCCACGCAAACGTGATCTTCAAGTCATGTGCAACACGAATTAAGAGACAGATTTTCGCAAAGGGTGACTTTAGAATGAAACTGTTATTTTCAAATACAACAGTGGCAGCAACTTTTTTTTTTTTTTGCAGCACCGGCAACAGTAGAAAACTTGTCCGACTGAGTCTTTACAAAATTTGACTTAAATATTCTGGCACCAGGTACAGTTTATGCCAATGCAAAGGTTCAATGCTTCATGGTCTACTGCATTAAGAACAAATAGATTTGGAAATTAATTGGAGCAACGAAGAGGAAATTTAATAAAATGACTTATTTATAGCAAAATATATTATTACAGTTATCTTTTATAATTTGGAATTACCTTTTTTGATAGATTAAAGCCATTTGCAGCATTTGTTAAGTTACACAGACATTTGCTTGTTTAACAGTACATGCATACATGCAGAGTTTACAGTAGCACGTGCTATGCCATAAACTTGATAATGCATTCTCCTCTTGACTATGTCACAGTGCCTCTGGGCAATGCTGAAACACAGAACTCACTGCTTACACTTTATACCACAAACACAGCATTCAAAGCGTTGAATTTGTATTTGCCGGAGTGATAATGTCCACCTCTCCAACCCCCCACTGAACTTTTATTACAGCTTCTCAAGAGCCAACATGGATGGGCCATAAACCCAATCTGTAAACTGTGACCACTTCAAGGGTGCTATAGTTAATAGTAAACTCCTTGTTAATAAAACAGAGAAGACTAACTTTTACAAGGCTTCTCTTGTTAAGCTTGCTTATATATATTTTAACAGTTAACAACTCGAGCAAAGTTTCCGTAATGGAAATCTAATAGAATCTCTGCTGCTTACACAAGTCCGGTTGATGAAAGGCAACTCACGGGTGATATGTTGTATATTTCTCGGTTTAAAGACACAAGCTGCAATTGCTTTGCAGCAGGTGTCTTGGAAAAAATGCTAGTATGTGTCTGTCCTTACAGGGCAAAACAACTGGCTGTGTGGTTGGGGAAAGGGTCAGGAAGGGAAACATGCCATTTAATATGATCTTTTGAAAGTGCTGCAGAACCCCACAGATGGCATTTTGTTGTCTCTGTCCCCCAGAGAGAACTTAGGAGCAGGAAATGTTTCGGTTTCAGTTGAGTGGCCTCTGAGAGTCCATTCTCACCCCCACCCCACCCCCAAAAATGCTGCCTTCTCAGCAAGTTAACAGCAGAAACTGCCAACGAGAAATTTCCAAAATCTCTTAACCAACTACACTCAAAAGCAGATTTGGTCATTTCAGGGACTGAGTGTTACAGAGTGCCATGAAATGGGGGTGGTGCATGGGCATACTCCTTTGTGTCCCCCAAACACAAAAGGGAGAGGCAGAAGGAAGCAAAAGGAGGGGGTGGGGGGGATAATAAATCTCCCTAATACTGGGCCCAAAAAGGGGCACAGGTTGAGACATGTTTCTGGTCATACTTGCAAGTGCAAAATGCAGAAAACAGCTTTGCATTAATGTCTGATATCTTGTCCTGACAGATATGAAACATGGTCAGTGTTATTAGTGCAGAAAAGGACTCCTCTTGCATGGCATGTTGAATATAGCAGGCAAAGCACATGAGGCCCCTTTTCAGCAGTCTTCTTTCTAGCTGGAAGACTTCTCCCTGATATGCTAAAATCAAATTGTTGTCATGCTCAAATCTCTCAGACAAACAAAAAGAATCAAAGTCATAAACCTCTCTCAACTCAAGGAGGTGAACAAACACCATGTCATGGGGCAAACACTTGTAAAAATCACTCAAGTGTTGACTTACTTTGTGTTCTTTCTGAAACCACAGAGGTCAAATGCACCAGTTCTACTACTGATTAAGAAAGTGGCATTTTAACAAGAAGTTAGCAATGGAACACCACGTACTGCAGCTTAAGACTGCAGGTTGGCCCTCCAATCCCGCTGTCACATAATCGCTGCACTAAACAGATAGTCTGTCAAAGTTTACTGCAGCCAACTAACGTGGCAGGTAATAAAATAATTATCATAAGTCCTGCATACAAAGGCGCCACCAAAGATAGGAGATAAAGACACGCATAGCAGAGTTTTACAACAATTGTCAACATGACAACTGACTAATTTTAGGCCCTAAGGCTGCTAAACTGGCCTAGTAGAGTGGGTGTGTTGACCCACACAGATGAACCAAACACTGACAGCATCTCATTCCTCAGCAGTTGTTTGGTGAAAAGCTTCCAGAACAGCTGATGTTCATTAAGCCCTCATGTGTCACTCCTTCCAAGTTGGAGGCAGCACAATATTAAACACAGGTCAGGTGATTCACTTAGAAATCATCTTCACGTGGACTAAAATAGGCATGAAGCCACTTGTGGGCTACATTACAGAAATGCAAACTGAAAAATTACATTTAAGAACATGTTCATACCTCTAATATTTTGTCCAAATCATCTTTCGACAGACAGGGATAGTCCTCAAGTATTTTATCCTTCTTGGCACTATACTGCTTTGCAGCCAGCTTCCAATTGGGCTCCTCCAGGACTTGAAAAATTGCCGCCCCAATGGACAGGTAAAAAATAATGGCAGAAGTCAACAAGGGGCCTTTATCTACCATACTTATGAACAATGACTCAACTTGGAGAGCGCGGGATAGGGGAAAAAGAGAGAGAAAGGAGGGGGTAGATAACAACAATACCCGGAGTTATGCGGGGCTCATTCTCAGCAAGTCTGGAGGCTCACAAAATGTCTCTTCGTCCGCGCGAGGGCTCACAAAACAGAGAGGAACGTGCCGCAGCTGGCAGCATTGGGCTCGCGACATAACAGTGGAAAAGGCCCGAGAAAGGTGAGCGCGCGTGCAACCGCAATAGTAATCTCTCCACGTGCGGGGCCAGAAGAAGAGTGGCTGCTGAAGTAGTGAGCGGAGCGGAGCAGGGGAGTGGAGAGGAGAGGAGGTCCGCCCACAGCACCGCCAGGAGAGACTCCCAGGTCTGCCCTCTTCCCTTTCTCACTTTTCTTTATCTTTTTCTGCTTTCTTTTCTTTAGCGTTTTTTTTTTTTTTTGCATTATGGCTACAGGTGCACAGCTGCAGACACGTTAGAAGTCGGCTAAATGCGACACTTGTGTCCGAACAAGTTTCACAAGTTTCCAATATTTTTCTAAACGGTGTCCCTGAACCAATTGAAAGTACTTGTAATTTAACATAGTTGTAACTTTCTTTACGTTCAGGAATTTGCTTGAAGCAAACTTACTGTAGGCTCAATTACACTACAAAAATAATTAGCTTTACACTGTTAATTTTTAAACTACATTTTGTAGCTAAGTAAGATGCTCCAGTGCCTCTACTAGCCCAGTGAACTGACTTATTTCAGGGGAAATCATGAATCGAAATGAGATATGCATTCGCAAAAAGGCAATAGATATATGACAATAAGGCACTGTACAGTCATTTTATGAATAAATCACAACATTTTGCATCAGTTTTATTTATATAAAACTTATGTTGTGGACATAAGTCATCTTAGGGCACTTAACATACTAAGTTGAGGACTTTACAATATTGTGTTATTGGCAGAAACCCAACCAATCCAAACAGTTCTCTTTGAGCAGCTCTTTGGTGACAATCAGAAGAAGAACTGCCTTTCAACAAGAAGAAATCCTCAGCAGAACCAGTCACAGGGAGGGCAGCCATCTTCCTCGACTGGTTGCTGTGAGAGTAAAGGGAAGACAGAAAAGCATAGCAAAGAGAAATACACAACGCATAAGAGAATAGTACATACTGGGGAGGTTGGTGAGGCTGGTAACCAGAGATTAGAAACATGGAGCTCCAGAATTAGGGCAGAGAGAACGAAAAATTAAACAACAGACGAGTGAGGCAACACAAAGTTAATGTAATGCAAAGGTGGCATATTTAAATTCCATGTTCAAAGTTGTGTCACAAAGACTTTTCTTTACTGCATCTCAGCCTAAGAACTCTGGCCTGATTTGACTTTTAATTGATTTTTTTTTATGATTTTGTTATCCACGTTAAAAAAGGGCATATGTGGTCACTGGGTCAGCCTCTCTATGCATTACAGAGGGTTCATATCTTCATACAAGTCATGTCCTTGCAAAGCCATAAACAGATTTTATATACTCAGGGTTGAAAATATTATCACTTAAAGGAATTCCACCAATGACAGTAAACATTGTTGTATGTGTTATAAATATTGTGGCCTTCACCACACCTGACCCTATCTAGAATCAGGTGTTGCCCAACTATGTCTTCAAGGTGTTTGGAAGGATAATGTCCATCAGTATACCCCAACCTGGCAAATAGAAGAAGAGGAGCTGAAGTAGTGATTAGTTGTAGAAGGACATGCACCTAAAAGTAGTATGTGTCAATGTCCAGACGTCATCTGCTCAAATGTTTGCTCAAGTGGCGTGTTCTGTTTTCTTTGTCGATACTGTGAGGAGCAAAGATCAAACAAAGGAACATACTTATTGATTAGCTTTTAAGTAGAACCAGAGAACCTCAGACAAAGATAGCATAGTTTATTATCACTATGGACAATATGTAAATTGCATTAGAAGGTGCAAGAAAAGAAAAATATATTGATAATCACTCCTCAAATCTTTGTGTTTATAGGACCTGAATGCACTTGTGGTCTTACAGTGCAAGTCAGTGACTGTGTGAGAGAGTTTGACATGCAAGACTATAAGATATTGCATCATGATCACTGGTATACTTTTTGTCCTCTGCTTTTTTTCTCTCTCACTGTGTGTGTGTTAGGTTTGTTGTTACAAGTTAAGTATAAATGCAGTACATTTTTAAACACATATTTCTGTGCTGCTTTGCTCTCTTCAGTTGAAAGTGCACAGCTGCAAAAAGTCATTGGCAAATGTCTACATTGGCAATGTTCCCATTGGACATTATGTGTAACTGTATAAAAACCAGGATTGTGTTCACAGGAAAAAAATGAAACTACACTGACAGTACAGCTCAGCACAAGGTGTAAAAGTGCAAGTGTTAACCTGTTCTTTTAGCATACCAGTGCAATGAAAGATGGTAAAGCATTATGAAAAGCAGCTCAGATTTCTTGATATTCCACAGCGAAAAACACCTTTATCCTGTCAAAAAACACCACTGACGTTTTATTTTTTTAGGCGAAGTAGCCTGCATTAACATGTCAGCACAGTTTAACTAATTATACACAAGAACTTCCTCTATTACAATATTTAGCTTAGTCTCAAAACAGTAATTTTATGTGTTCATGACAAAGTCCTCCTTTCATGTTTGTAGGCTCTGCCGGCTCTTTGGACTGTCCCATCACCTCCTAAACAATTCAAGTGAGTAAAGATCATCGACATCATCACTATAGAGAGGATGCCTTGCTCTAAGTCATGCAGATCCATTTTGTTTTGCAGATGTCATCAAATTAATTTGTCACACACATTTAATATTGATACAAGTTTTTTGCTGTGCATTAAGTTTTACGCTTATTTCAACTGTAGCTGAATGTATTTAGTAAACTTGTAAAAACATGCTGGAATGTACATTCTAAATAGCAGCCTTTGTAATTTGCTATTTGCTTTGTTTCAAATCTGGATTTTTATTTCAAATTGATGAGTTGTTCAGTGGGCTGCAAGGTGGAACGGTGGTTAGCATCGTTGCCTCGCAGCAAGAAGGTCGCCGGTTTGCGTCCTGGTGAGGACACTCGGGATCTTTCTGCGTGGAGTTTGCATGTTCTCCCCGTGTGGGTTCTCTCCAGGTTCTCCGGCTTCCTCCCACAAGGTCCAAAAACATGTTGAGGTTAATTGGTGATTCTAAATTGTCCGTAGGTGTGAATGTGAGTGTGCTTAGTTGTGTAAGTGTAGCTCTGCGATAGTGTCCCCTGCCTTTACCCTAAGTTAGCTGGGATAGGCTCCAGCCCCCCCGCAACCCTAGTGAGGATTAAGCGATGTATAGATAATGAATGGATGGATGGATGGATAGTTGCCCAGCTTAGCCAGCAGGTTGCCAAAGTTTAACATAAGCTGGCTCTGTCTGGAAGTAACACCTACCAGCACTTTAAAGCAGACAAATAAACATGTTATATGCTGTTTGTCTAATTCGTACAGTAAACAATGTGTAAAAAAAGACAATGTTCTGTGTAAGAGAAGCTTCCTTGCCTAGTAGTGAGCTAAACATGCACAGGCAGCTGTTTTCGCATGATTTCACAATTTTTTGCCACAACCCTTGTAGGCAGGTGTTGCCACTTGGTAAACTCTTGATTGCCTTGGGCAGGTATTTTGGGCTAACTAGACCAGGTCCCTTTCAAAATGAATGAGGAGGTAGCCGTAATGACAAATTCAAAGGTCACATAGACATTAAAACTGCATGTATGGAGTCACAAGTCAAATCTGAAAGTTTGGTGACTTAGCCCAGGACAAGATGTACAAAGTGCTTTGTCCCAAAGGTTATACTGCAGTGACATGACACCATGCTTCTGTCATTCAACATTGCATTTAGCTGGATTGTTCCCAGTTTGACTGTTGCATTGGCTTTTTGGGGGAAGGATATCACATGTGTCACAAAAATGCATGCCAAAATTCTCCCATAGACTTCAATTCAGTTTTCTTTAAGCAGCGAGGCTCTCCCTTCGTCTCTGTTTTTGCTTCACTAATCCTGCTGGGTTAGCAAGCTACTGGCTCCAGCTACATATTTATCTTTTCATCTGACTTTCGGCAAGAGAGCAAACAAGGGCATTTCCCATAATGTGTAACTATTCCATAAAACTTAAAAATGTAACATGCTTTTACAACACCAGTGTGCAACGTAGCACAACCAGATAAAATGCTCTTACAGAGTTTTGCAAAAGTATGTTCTTTTTAAAACAGCTGACTCAGCTTTTTGGTGGTTTTAGGGCCACTGGTAGGCAGGTCTGCCAGTGACAGAAATCAGAGATGAGCAGAGACAGCTCAGTATGTTAAACAAGGTCCTTTCATACACAAGTTGTTACATAACAACCATTCTTGTTTTGTAAATGTACAAACTTGACCTTCTTACCTACACTATAGGGTCACTTCACAGCATAATGCACTGGAAAACTCTGATGTAACAAAAATCTTAAAATGACACCATTCTGTAACATTTACAAATCATTGCTTGGGTTAAGAAAAATTCATTCACTCATCGTGCTTTGTAATTGGTACTTCAGAAACAACTAAAACACTATCAGTCACGTGATGTTATGGAGTTTTTGCCATGTGAATCAGATTCACATCATTTACCATCTTAAGGAGTACAAGTTTTGTGTTATCACACGTTGCAATAAAAGGGAGGAGAACCAATGCAGAAGAGATAAATCTTTTGCAAATATTGGCCTATTGGCCTTGTTTGGCTGTCAGTATATGTAGGCCAAACATCAGCAGATGTTCAGAGATACCACAGAATATATCAAACAGCTGGTGAAAGCCATCATGGTGGTCTCTGGTGGAAATCCCTTTGGGATACCGGGGGGCTTCCTGATTTTCCGGCAGTCCTGATAAGACAACGGGAAGAGCCGCATCAGATAGCGCAACATCCACTTTGGATGCATTAACACATGTTTCATTTGGTGAGCAAAAGTCTCAAAAGAGGAGGTAATCTTCATAAGATCTTGGAAAACCTTCAACCTTATAATACTGTTGCCTGTGCTTACAGACAAATGGTAACTGTTTAGTGAAGCTCTAGTGTTGCAATGCTTCTTATCGAAACCAAACTCATTTCACTTCCTCTCTGACATGCCCACTCTTCTTGGCATCACTACATTCTTAGTCATCTATAGATTTTTATTCTGAGGCAGGAAGGTGTTATCTCTATTTCATAGGAAAAGTCATACCAGAGAAGACTGTGGTATTCTCACTTGCAGCAC